GAGAGAACGAGATGATTAGAGAAACACTTCATCGAGAGAATGAGATGCTTAGAGAAAAAATGATGGCTCAAGCAGATCGTGACATTATGAAAAGTCTCTAGTAGGACTGTCTTCGAATTCAAAATATTTTTGGACATCTATAAAAAAAAAGATGTTGTGCGAAGGAGGCGTGCAAGAGATGCCAAAACAAGTCAAAGGGGTTCCAGCTACAGAAATCCTAGCAACCAAGATCGTAGCACCGCATATCCTAACTCCACAGACTTTGTTAATTTCGTATTTATTTGTACTACTTTATTTAATTTGTTATGTAATTTCTTAACATTTTTAGAACTTTATTTAATTTCTTATGTAATTTTTTATTTATTTTTAGAACTTTATTTAATTTCTTATGTAATTTTTGTACTTTATTTAAATATTTGAATAAGATTACAAAAACTCACCAAATAAACATTTAAAAAAAAACACCAAAAAAAATTACATAACCTCACCATATAAACTTAAAAAAAAAAACACACTAAAATAAGATTACTTAAAAAACAATACACTTTATTCTTCAACCAGAAGTCTTATTTTAATTATCTTCGCCTTCGTGCAATCCCCACTGGTGGTCAATCAAGTCATTCTGGCTGGTTATGTACCAGTATGGCTCTTGCAATGAAGTGTACCGTTGAACGATCAATTCATTGTAACGTCCATCCCGTTCCAACGGCTCGTGTTGCACGGGATCTTCGGTCCGGTCATGAGCACAGTAGATTTGTGTTCTTAAGTTGTTCATTGGATCCAGCTTGTATTCATCGACAACATCATAATCATACTCGTCTTCAACAATCATGTTGTAGAGAATAATACAAGTCATCATGATGGATCGAAGAGCCTCGACATCAAACATTCTAGCTGCAGCCCTGACAATCGCCCAACGAGCTTGCAGGATACCAAAACAACGCTCGACATCCTTCCTACACCCTTTTTGACACTTTGCGAAGTGTTTTTCTTTTTCACTCTATAGATGTGGCACTGTTTTGAAAAATGTTGACCACCTTGGGTAAATACCATTTGCAAGGTAGTATGGTCCCTCGTATTTATTACCATTAACCCAATATGTGCATCTCAGCCCATTTCCTTGTTGCAATTCGTCAAACACTGGAGATTGGGTAAGGACATTTAGGTCATTCTGAGCTCCTGGAACACCAAAAAAAACATGTTAAATCCATGTATCAAAAGAAGCCACCGCTTCCAAAATGATGTTTTTGGCTTCTTTTCTGTCGCCATAAGCTCCTTGCCACGCACTTGGACAGTTTTTCCATGTCCAGTGCATGCAGTCGATGCTTCCAATCATGCCACGGAAGCCTCGCATCTCACCCTTCCTCAGAAGCCTTCGCATGTCCCCTGGCGTGGGTTTCCGAAGGAACTCATTGGTGTAGAGGGCTTCAAGTACAGAGCAAAACCGCATTAGGGACTCCAGAACTGTTGTTTTTCTCATCCTTACGATCTTATCCACTTGATCTGCAGATGCTCCATATGCAAGCATTCGCAAGGCAGCCGTAATTTTTTGCTCAGGAAGAAGACCTAGAACATGAAAAGCATCCTCTTTTTGCACAAAATATGGATCATGGTTGCAAACAACATTCATGATTTTATCGAACAAACTTCGTTGCATTCTAAAACGACGTTTAAAAACATGATCAGGGAAAACGCTGTTGGGAATAAAATAATCTTCCAAGAGATCTTTACCTTGTATTTCCTTTCTTCTATCAATGTTTGCTGCACGTCTGGGTTTGGCTATCTGACCCACAGCTTCCATGATACTGCAGGAATGTGAGGCCCTCCGCCTTCTATGGTGATCATCCTCATCTTCCTCCATTGCGAAGGCCTCATCTCCACCTCCACCTTCGTCAAGATTGACCAATTCTTCCTGTTGTGCCAACAACCTTTTCTGCTGCTCTTGCAATTGTTTATACATTCTCCTTGAAGAAGACATTGTAAGAACTCAAGATTTGAAAACGATAAAGAAGAATTTTGAGCTAAAAAAAAGGATTGAATTTAGTGTGAGGATGGAAGTAGGGATGTAGGGTTTATATAGACAAAAAAAAGAGAAGATAAGGTTCTAGACAATGCCACGTGGCACTACATGATTGGTTGAAAATCTTACCGAAATATTGGCTAAATTACTGTAAACAGGAAGTGACACGTGGTGTGTTGGGATCGGTTGAAAATCTTATCAGAAATCTATCTACAAAATAGTACGTTCGGATAATGACACGTGACGTGACAAGATTGGTTGAAAATCTTATCGAAATCTTGCCTAAATTATTGTAAACAGGAAGTGACACGTGGGTTGTTGGAATTGGTTGAAAATCTTAGTGGAAATCTATTCACAAAATAGTACGTTCGGATAATGACACGTGGCGTGACGAGATTGGTTAAAAATCCTATCCGAAATTAAAACTATTTTTTTAATTTATTATTTTATAAAAAAAATTATTTAATATTTTACATAGACTGGGTGCCAGCGCATTTTGTAGGGGTGGAGATCGTTTGTGCCAGCGCATTTTTAGATTGGGTGCCAGCACATTTTTTTTGGGGTGGAGATGCTTTGGCCTATTACTGTTCATTATGGTATATTACTGTTCACTGAAGTGGATAAATGGGTTAGGTGCTGGCGCAAAGTCTTTAGGGGTGAAGTTGCTCTCACCACCAAAGCCACAACCCACTCGCCCACTGCCGCCCTCACTCGCCAATTGCCTCATATTCGTCAACCCATGTCCAAGACTAGGCTCACCCACCGCCATTTATCCTCCCTCTTTCCCTTCCCCCTTCCTTCACTGTCACATCCCGGCCCGGAGGGGACCACTTCCCTGGCCCGCTCCACCACCGTAGCACGATATTGTTCGCTTTGGGCCCCGACCATGCCCTCACGGTTTTGTTTCTGAGAACTCACACAAGAACTTCCCGATGGGTCACCCATCCTGGGAATGCTCTCGTGCGCTACTCGCTTAACTTCGGAGTTCCCATGGAACCCAAAGCCAGTGAGCTCCCAAAAGGCCTCGTGCTAGGTAGGGATGGGAATATACATATAAGGATCACTTCCCCTGGGTGATGTGGGATGTCACAATCCACCCCCCTTAGGGGCTCGACGTCCTCGTCGGCACACCACGGCCAGGGTTAGGCTTTGATACCAAATGTCACATCCCGGCCCGGGGGGGACCACTTCCCGGGCCCGCTCCACCACCGTAGCACGATATTGTCCGCTTTGGGCCCCGACCATGCCCTCACGGTTTTGTTTTTAAGAACTCACACGAGAACTTCCCGATGGGTCACCCATCCTGGGAATGCTCTCGTGTGCTACTCGCTTAACTTCGGAGTTCCCATGGAACCTGAAGCCAGTGAGCTCCCAAAAGGCCTCGTGCTAGGTAGGGATGAGAATATACATATAAGGATCACTTCTCCTGGGCGATGTGGGATGTCACATTCACCACCAAAACCACAACCCACTCCCCCACACAGTGGTTCTCCACTCTCCTCCTCCCTCGCCCAAAAAAGATAAAATTTTGACAGAAAGAAAAATCCAAAAAAGAGGGCACAGTGAGTTCTCCAAGTCAAGCACAAGTGGTTCACCACTCTCAATCTTCATATTCGCCATCAACGACTTAACCGACCGGATTCTACTGTTGCTTCCTCCCTCCCCCTGCACCTCAACGTCGGCTCCTAAACCCGATCCGTACGATTCTCCTTCGGCCGCCTGACCTTCCCCATCTCTGTCTCGCCGTGCCGTTGCAGACATTGGAGGTGCCTTCGACTGAAAAGTCGAGAACGCCCACCATGTTCTACAAGAGTCGGGCGTGCCTAACTCAGTCTTGGGCTAGGAGCAGGTCGAGTTCCACTCAGTGGCTCGAGGGAATAGCACGTTTTTGAGAAAGAAAGGTGGCTCGGGGGAAAAACATGTCAATGACAACAATGTTCTCGCCTATGGAGAGGACAGTGAAGGTTCATCGTTAGGGATTAGAGTGGAATGTGGTGGAGAAGGAGGAGCTCCATGGGAGGGAGGTGGAGATGGAGGAGGAGAATGAAGGAAATAGTGGTCTTGGAGAAGAAAGGAGGCGACATCATTGGAAAGGATTGGGAGAAAGACGAGAAAGAGAAATGAATTGGGAGAGATTTTTTACCTTTTTAATATTTAATTAATTTTTTAATCCAGTTAGGCAAGAGAAAGGGTCATGTGTCTATCATGTCAGCAGTTAATAGATAAATTGACAAATTTTTTAACGAATGTTTAACATTGCAACAATTTGGAAGTTAATGTATGACATTGCAATGTTTAAAAAGTAAGATATGAATTGCAGTTCGACTCATAATTGAAGTAGTTTTATGAATTTTTCCTTATAAATTGAAACACATGACATCTTGTAATCAACTTAAAACACCATCATCGTGGATTGTTTTTGGCAGATAAGTTTCTCTCACTCAGCAAAGTCAAGGGCAAACCCTGAAATTCAACGTATAAAAAAAGAGTAATGCTAGGGAGATTAAATTTGTAAACAAAATTTGCAAATTAAATGATAGACATAAACGCGTTTATCAACGCTTAAGTAACAGTTCAACCATCAACTTCAATGTCATTTTGTTTACAAATTTAGCCTACATAACATTACTCATTTTTTAATGGGTAATACCAGGGAGTCTACAAAATTTTGAAAACTCAATGACTTGGAACTTGATGATTGAATTAATACTTAGGATAATGCTAGAGAGACTAAATTTGCAAACAAAATTTGCAAACTAAATGACATGGAAGTTGATGGTTGGATTATTACTTAACCGTTGATAAACATGCTCATTTTTATTAATAACACATTATTTAATTTATAAATTTTATCTACAAATTTAATTTTCTTAGTATTACCCCTTAAGAAATATCTATTAACACCGAAAAGAGAGGGGAAAAAAAATCACCAAAGTTTTATTAACCCGCCAATTACGCAGCATTGTCCAGAGCTAATTTCAAGCACTACAAAACTAACCCGAACTTCCACGCGTAGACACAAAAAAACACCTTTCCTTTCCAAAAAAAGGTCCAAGCAATTCAGTCCGAAGAATACTCGCAGAGAGAGACAGACCCAATGGAGGAAGGGCTCGGCGGAGAGGAGTACTTGTTCAAGGTGGTGCTGATAGGCGACTCGGCGGTGGGCAAGTCGAACCTCCTCTCGCGGTTCGCCCGCAACGAGTTCGACCCCAACAACAAGGCCACAATTGGGGTCGAGTTTCTGACCCAGGAGTTGGAAATCGACGGAAAAATGATCAAGGCTCAGATCTGGGACACCGCCGGCCAAGAGCGCTTCAGGGCCGTCACCTCTGCTTACTACAGAGGCGCTGTCGGCGCCCTGATTGTGTACGACATCAGTAGGAAGACCACCTTTGAGAGCGTCAAGCGCTGGCTCGATGAGCTCACTAGTAAGTTTTTGCATGACCCCTTTGTTAAACATTTTTCTGTTTGGTTGGTGAGAAACCTTTGGTTAAAGATTGGTAATTTTGTTTGGTTGATGCTATGAGTTTTCATTAGCAGAGGGTGATTGTTTTAGCTGTGTTTATCTTTACCAGTAAGTTTTTGCTTACCCCTTTTGTTATGGTTGAGTTTTTTCTGTTTGGTTGGTGAGAAAATGTAGGAAAAGGAAGAGTTACTAGTGGGTTTTGTAAGATATGGTTGTCTACTTATCTTTGGTCAATGAAATTTTGGAGGCCATATTTGGTTTATTGTATTTCCACTAATCTTTTAGCCCAATTGGTCTAGTTCTGATTATACATTGTGCTAGTAGAGTAAAGGAATGGCAATTTGTTTTTGTATAATGGGAATAGAAATCTTCTAATTACTGGGGAACATGTTCTTCTTCCCAGAAATGGGTGTACTGAGAAAAAGGGCAGACTTTTATGGGTGTGGTAATAATAGTTTGTGTTGCATTTTTGATTCTTCGTTTCCTGGTAATATTGTTCCTTAATTTTTGAGTTTGTGCAGCACATTTCAACAGTTTGATTGCCACTTTAAACAACTTTGTGCAGATATGAGAAACCCCAAATGAAATGCTACTGATTTTGTGGTTGGCATGTGGTGGCAGTGTGAATTGGGAATGTGTTGTATATATATGTGGTCTTCTTAGGGAGCAAAACTTGGATATTATTGCTGTTGAACATTTATTAGGTTAGGTAAAGCATTTATGTTTCAATTCAGGGTGTTGTGATTTGTGGATTGCTGAACATGGGAGCATTTTTGCTCACCACTATTTATTGTGGTGTATGCTCACCATCTTATTTATCACCGTTAGATGAGTTTGAATTTCAAGATTCGTGTAGTAGATAAACACAAATCTCAAAATTCAAACTCCTCTAATGGTGATAAATAGGATGGTGAGCATACACCACATAAATGGTGGTGAGCAAAAGGTTTGTTTATTCAAATTGAAAGCCAACTACTTCCAAGTTATTCAACATTGTTTCATTAATGTTAGAACTTTATACCTACCTTGGAACCGGGCCCCAACTTGGGCCATAAGTGTAGCTTTTGTTGCACCGGTTGCAGGCTGGCCCCAACATGGGAGTTTGTTTTTGGCTTGCTGAAGCCTGGTTGGTTCCGATTTAGGTTTTTCCTTTTGCCCTCAGGCCCTAGTGGACCCGATAAAAGAAAATAGACATACATTAGAACGCTTATGTTTCGAAGTTCTTCAAATTGTACAATGTACTTGACATGATTTAGTGCAGCATAAGGAATTGATTGAATGCATATTTTATTCTGTTCCGCAGCCAATGTTTCTTACAGAAATATTCCCCCTAACAAATATGAACCGTAGAAGTTTTGTTTGTTTACATAATCGATGTAACTTAGAGTAATTCAGTGGCTTATACTTTGGACTCATTAAGTTGCTTATAGAACTTGTTGTTTTTACCCCTTAGTTTGCTGTTTTTGTTCAACTTTTTAGGTAGGTATTTGGTAATTTCATTAGTATTCACAATCTTCTGATCATTTTGACATTCATATTCATATTTCTTATTTTATCGAGGTCAGACTGTTAATGCTTAATTGAATGATTACGCAGCTCATTGTGAAACAACCGTAGCAAGGATGTTGGTAGGAAACAAATGTGATTTGGAGGATATTAGGGCTGTGAGCATGGAAGATGGCAAAAGCCTGGCTGAGGAAGAAGGGCTATTCTTCATGGAGACTTCTGCGCTTAATTCCACCAACGTTCAAACCGCTTTTGAGATAGTTATCCGGGAGATTTACAACAATGTCAGCAGGAAAGTCCTAAATTCTGATTCCTACAAGGCCGAGTTGTCTGTAAACCGAGTAAGCCTGGTGAAAAACGGGGCAGACTCGAAAGGCAGGATGAATCTCTCTTGTTGTGGTGGATGATCTCTATTTCCTTCGGTTTTACGTTTTACTTTATAGTGTTCTTTTTACCCCACGCATGCCATTCAAAAACCTGTGATTGGGGATTAGCTATATTAAGAAGACTATTTTCATAGTTTTCTTAAATTTCAAGTTCTTATTTCTGTGTTGTGTTGTGAATCCTGAGATTTCATTCACAAGTATGAAAAGAAGCATGCATTACATATCCTACCTTTGTGGAAAACACCAATATAATTCTTCCACCATCTGATTTTTTGGCGCAGTTTTGGATTTTTTTGAGGATTTTGTTTAGCTTTGGTTGGGTTGTATTATTATTTTAATTTATTGGAGGCCATCGGACCCACTGGGCTGTATCATCTTCAAATTAAACTATTTAAATTACAAGATTGCAAAATAGAAAAAAATCATTAAGAAGCTTTATCTATAGAGACAAAAACACAAAGTACATTTCATAAGATTCAATCAAAACTTTAAATTGATTTTAAATTAGTAAAAATAATTTTTGCAAGTTTAGTTTCGCAATTTTGCAAGACTAGTCTCAAAATTCTATGCACTTTTGCAAGACCAGTTTCAAAATTCAAATGCTTCTACAAGATCAGTTTTAAAATTTCAACAGTTCTGCATGATCGGTTTTAAAATTCTAGCACTTACGCATGATCAATTTTCAAAATTTTTTGCACTTCTCAAGTTTAGTTCAAAATTCTAACACTTCTGCAAAATTAGTTTCAAAACTTGTAGCACTTATGCATGGTAAGTTTCAAAATTTCAGTATTTCTGTAAGATCAATTTCAAAATTCTTGCACTTTTGCAAGATTTGTTTCAAAATTCTTGCCTTCAAATCAATCAAAACATCAAATATAAATTGTAACATCCGACATTGCCCATGGGAGTGATCCTTAAATGTATATTCTCATCCCTACTTTGGACGAGGCCTTTTGGAAGCTCACTGGATTCGGGTTCCGTAGGAACTCCAAAGTTAAGCGAGAAGGGGGCTTGAGCAATCCCATGATGGGTGACCCACTGGGAAGTTGCTCGTGAGTTCCCAAAAACAAAACCGTGAGGGAATGGTAAGCCCAAAGCGAACAATATTGTGCTACGGTGGTGGAGCGGGCCGGGGAAGTGATCCGCCTCGGGTCGGGATGTGACAAATTGGTATTAAAGCCTAACCTGATCGTGTGTGTGCTGACGAGGACGTCGGGCACCTAAGGGGGATGGATTGTAACATTTGTCATCGCCCAGGGGAGTGATTCTTAAATGTATATTCCCATCCCTACCTAGCACGAGGTTTTTTGGGAGCTCACTGGTTTCGGGTTCCGTAGGAACTCCGAAGTTAAGCGAGAAGGGGGTTAGAGCAATCTCATGAAGGGTGACCCACTGGCAAGTTGCTCGTGAGTTCCCAAAAACAAAAAACCGTGAGGGAATGGTAAGCCCAAAGCGGACAATATTGTGCTACGGTGGTGGAGCGGGCCTGGGAAGTGATCCACCCCGGGCGGGGATGTGACAAATTGGTATTAGAGCCTAACCTGGTCGCGTGTGTGCCGACGAAGACGTCGGGCCCCTAAGGGGGGTGGATTGTAACATCTGTCATCGCCCAGGGGAATGATCCTTAAATGTATATTCCCATCCCTACCTAGCACGAGGCCTTTTGGGAGCTCACTGGTTTCGGGTTCCGTAGGAACTCCGAAGTTAAGCGAGAAGGGGGTTAGAGCAATCTCATGAAGGGTGACCCACTAGGAAGTTGCTCGTGAGTTCCCAAAAACAAAACCGTGAGGGAATGGTAAGCCCAAAACGGACAATATCGTGCTACGGTGGTGGAGCGGGTTCAGGAAGTGATCCACCCAGGGCCGGGATATGACATAAATACTATAAAAAAAATACTAAAATCAAAAACAAAAAATTGTTCTTCGAAAAGAAAAAGGACACTCATAAATCTAGGAAATAATTTAAAGAAGAAGACAAGGAGGGAGAAAGAGAGAAGTATGAGTAAGAAATAAAAGAAGTGATCCACCCAGGGCCGGGATGTGACATAAATACTATAAAAAAAAATACTAAAATCAAAAACAAAAAATTGTTCTTCGAAAAGAAAAAGGACACTCATAAATCTAGGAAATAATTTAAAGAAGAAGACAAGGAGGGAGAAAGAGAGAAGTATGAGTAAGAAATAAAAGAGAATGGCAAAGGAGGAGAGATTGAAAGAGAGAAAGATCGAAAAAAGAGGAGTGAGGGATAAATGGACAAAGGAGGAGGAAGAGAGAGAGAGAAAAGAACGAAGAAGAAAAATGAGGAAATAGAAAGAAACTATACAAATGAGTTGATAGAGACTATTTTTCCATTATAGAGGAGTAAAATTGTAAATGAAAAAATAATTAAAAAATAATCATGACATTACTCGCCACATGAATGAGTATTGTCCCTATCTAAAATAAATAAAAAAGGGTAAATTACATTTTACCCCCTTAAGTTTGGGGTCGATTTCAATTTTTTACAACATCTTTAAAACATTTCAATTTCATACGTTTACTTATCATTTTATTTCAATTTCATACATCTGTCATAAAATCCATTAAGTAAACCATTAAGTGATGACGTGGCAAATATTGGATCCACATTTATGTTAACGTGACTGCCAAATTTGCGCCGCGTGGCAATTTTTTTTTAATTTTTTTTATGCATTTAAAATATAATAATTTACTCTACTTAAAAAAATAAAATAAAACCCAAAAACCCATCTTCCTCTCGACCCACCTCCTTCTCCTCCACTTTCTTCACCTCCCCTCCCCGCCCATCCAAAAACCCATCCCATCCCATCCCACCCCACCCCACCCCACCCACCTATTTCCAGTGACCTCCTCCATCTCTTTCTCTTCCTCCTTCTCTCATTCTAACCTTGAATTGGCGTCGATCAGACCCACGAGATGTAGCCAACAGCAACATCGGAAGGGAATTTTGGTATTTGACATTTGAAGGAGTGCTGTTCTGCTGCAAAAAAATATGGGTTTTTTGGGGTTTTGGGTAGGGTGGGGGCGGGGCCCGGGGGGGGTGTTGGGCGGGTTGCGGGGGAGGTGGGGGTGGGGTGGGGTGGGATGGGGTGGGTTTTTGGATGGGAGGAGAGATGAAGAGAGTGGAGAAGAGGGAGGTGGGTCGGGGGAAGATGGGTTTCTAGGTTTGATTATTTTTTTTTTAAGTAGGGTAAATTATTATATTTTAAATGCATAAAAAATTATCTTTTTACCACATGACACAAATTTGGCAGCCACGTTAGTAAAAATGTGGATCCCATATTTGTCACTTCATCACTTAACGGATTTTCTAATAGAGGTAAGAAATTGAAATCAACCCCAAATTGGAGGGGGTAAAATGTAATTTACCTAATAAAAAAGCTTGGTTTCTCTCCAAAATAGTCTTATAATTTGGATGTATGTGTAATTGTAAGCTTTAACTGTAGAGACAAAAACACAAAATACATTTGATAGAAGTCCACTAGTTTTGAATCATTCAAGGAGAGACAAAACTGCAAACTGACACCATCTATAAAAACTTCAAACTGATTTTAGATCCGTAAAAATTAATTTATGCACTTCTACAAGATAAATTTCTTAATTCATGCACTTCGCCAAGACCAATTTAAAAAACTTATGCACTTTTGCAAGATCAGTTTCACAATTCATGCAGTTATGCAAGATCAGTTTCAAATTTTTCTGCACTTCTACAAGATTAGTTTCAATATTCCAACACTTACAGAAGAATAGTTTCAAAATTTTTTAGCACTATTGCAAGATCTTTTTCAAAATTCTAGCATTTTTGACAAGATCAGTTTTAAAATTCTTGCTCTTTTGCAATATTAGTTAAAAAAAAAAAAAATTCATGCATGCAAATCAATCAAAACCTCAAAATCAAATCTTTCAAAAAATACTAAATTAGAAAACCAAAAATCTCAATTGTTCTTAGAAAAGAAAAAAAAACTCATAAGTTTAGGGAACAATATGAACTGATTCTGCAATTGTTGTCCATATCATATGGGCCACTAATAATCCTCCTATCGGTGAATTGATTCGAGCTTGCCGTTCAATGTTACTGCATGACTGAAAGTGTAATATTCATCATATCTATCGTGAAAATTAATTTTGTTGCTGATGAGTTAGCCAACCTAAGCCTCTCCCATCCCTTGAGTACGATCTATTTTGAGCAAGCTCCATCTTCTTATAAGCAATTATTATTAACCGATATTTCTGGGGTCTCTCGACCTCACAACATTATTTTGTTGTTCCTCTATTGTTGGGCTTTTAGCTCCTGTATGTAACAAAAAAAACAATCATTATATACTTGGATGGATGCAAATATTATTGGGAGAGTAGGCGTGTTTAGGATTGGATCAAAAACAACGCTTTCAATTTCCGTTCCAAAATTTCCAAATCGGATAACAATTTTCAAATTCGGAATTTTCAGCTTATTTGGAAATTTCGGAATTGGAGTAATCTCGTAAATTTCAGAACATAATTTAGAAACTCATATATTTGATAAGTTTTTTAATAGGAATGTGATATCCACACATCCCATTTTACTTCTCACACACCCCTTGATAATTTATGTCCGTTAACCTTCTTTAATTCATCCGATCTGACGCCGAAAATTAAAAAGGTGTGTGAGAAGTAAAATGGGATATGGATATCACACCCGTTTTTAATATTCTCTAACTTTTCCGTACATGCAATTTATTGTTCTTTCTTAATATTTGGTATATGCTTATGCATAAATTCAATGAATAAAATGTATCCAAAAACTAACAATAAAATACAAAAATTGATTACAAAATATATAATTTGAAGTAATAAATATAAAATATCGTAAGCATTGGAATTCTCGAACTTCTAATTGCATCCCAATTTCCATTCTAATTTTTCAGAAAACATTCGGATTTGTAACCTTCGGGTTCGGATTTAGAAATTTTACTGTTGGAATCAGAAATGCCATTCCAACTTACAATTCAAACTCGGGATCTCTTATGCAAGTTTAAATCAACTAAATTACAAACTCTTCCAATTGGTCAATGATTTTTTTGTTATATTCAGAGAAATATAGTCAATATCAGAAACAAGGTACAATCTATCAAAATAAATTTATCTGTACATGCAAAACAAGCTAAAAGAAATTAAAAAGTATTCGGGAGGACATTTCCCATCTACAAGAAGACCTATTTTGTAAACTCAAATAAATTTAAGAGCAACAAAAATGAAAAAATGGCCTGTAATTACCACTACTAACTTGAAACAACGGATTGCATCGCATAGATTACGGGGATGTGAGTTCTCTAAGGCTTCCTCAAGGCGGATGCGGCACCCATGACAACAGCCAAGACAATGCCAAGACCGGCTCCGAGGGAAGCACCCACGGCTGCAGATGTAAGAGAATTTGACTTGGCTTGAGAATCACGTCGCATGGCGATTGCACGCTCTCGTGCCACTTCCACCAAAAGCCTATCTCTTGCAAGTTCCTTCAAATTGAAAAAAAATTTAGTACTCGTGAATAAATTTAGTAGATAAAATGGTATTTACACCACTACCACACCCGTCCACAGAAGCATATATGACAGTGAAACAGTACGCAACAAATCTTGAGAGCAGCAAAACCCCATTGCAAATTAGGAATGGTGAAAAGTTTGTTTACCTGCAATCCAGCTTCCTCGTGGCTACGAAGCACATGATGGACTACTTGACGAAGAGAGTTGACACCCTCAACTGGGAGAATGATTTCTTTCTTCTGGAAAGGCCGCTTAACAAAATTGATGGGAGCAAACAATAAGCTTTGAGCACCCATCCTTCCATCAGCATCTCCAGTGGTTGCACCCCATGACAAATTAGTGCTTGCAGCACTTGGCATGACATATGGACAGGAATTGATAACGGCAGTGGTACTTGGAGATGCTTGGTATGACTGGACAACATCATCAATTGCTGCTTTCTGCTGATGAGCACTGACAGAAAATTTGTTTGTTACGGCAAGGACCCAAGGAATTCCCAGAGATTTTGCTTCATCCAGCAGAAGTGTAAGGGCTGGCTTTTGCTGCGATCCATTTGAGAGATTTAAGTGTGGTATTCTGTGAGACAGGTTATGAACAAGAACAATCAAGTCGGTCTTCTGATTCAAATCACGAATTCCTGTCCGTAGTTCATCTCTGAAACGGGTGGCCTCCAAATTCAGCTCCTGCAACCCAAATTCGAGAAGTGTGACAATAAATCATGAGAAAGTATAAAATAAACCATGCCAACGGGGAAATTCTCTATCATGGAAGGAGAAAGTACCTGTAAATTTACTCCTGCTGAATCACAGAAGTATAAACCCCGAGAAATACCTTCTTGGGCGTTAGTTTCTGGAAGCAGATTTTCAATATTGGTAATATTGGTAATATTGGTAATTTTGCCTTGGGATAACATTGCCTTAAAAAGGGAAGTCTTTCCGGCTCCCTACATGGGCAATAAATCATGTGAGTAACTACATGAAATAAATATATAAGACAACCTTTTTTTGACCAAGAATTAAAGCATCAATACCTCAAGACCAAGTAATCGCACCCTGCGAGTTCTCACATGGACCTCTTTAGAGACTGTGGTAAAGTCACTGGTACAAAATATAAAAAATTCACTTAAGCCTTCAGAACGTATGGACTTTTCCTCATCAAATGGTCCTGAAGTGTGCTCCCTATTAAGATTAGCTGTGTTGGAATCAATAGAAGAAAACACACACATCATTGAATCTGCTTCCATCTGATATTTTGGTGGCTGTTTCAATGGAGCTCCAACTAAGACCCGCAATTTTTGTAGTTCCAGCTTTTCCCCATAATTTGAAGAATAAGTTGGGGTTGAAGGAAAGGATTCCACTGTTGTTGAACACCTAAATGATGATACAATGTTACACAAATATAAATAATTGACTGCATAAAGATTACAGTCATCGGTGGAGGTTGTAATACAGTTACACAGAACAGTACCAGTTACCATTCACTTGGGCATGCACAAGCGTACAAAGATGCAATCCAAAACCAGTGATATCAACTTTTAAGGGCTCTCCATTCTTCTCGCCAGGTATTCTATTCCATCCAAGAGGAGCAACTGAAGTAGCTGTCCGAATAACTGGAGACTCAACAATATGCCCAAGCTCCACAGTTCCTGCAACTGCAAGACCAAGCCACTGCTGTAGATGTGGAAACTGCTGTAGTTGCTCTATGGCTGGAAAAGGTGACGTATCGTCTTTCATGCACAGGTCATAGATTCTGCAAGGCAAAAAGGTCAAATCAAGTAAGAAATGGAAGAAAAGTTACAAGGACTAAGTAAAGACATGAGATTGCATTTTCAAACTAGATGCCGAATCCCACATTCAATGCGGAAGAAATTCAAACTAGATGCCCTGACCAAACCACACTACACCTTGTCTCATTCCTGGATGTAAATTTACATCATTTGTTATATTCATGTGTTAAGTGCTTGGTCACTGACACAGGTCAAAATGTGATTTGCTATTTGTAAGGATTATTTCGTAAGGAAAGCAAGAAGATAAACAAAAGGCAAACATAACCTATATGTATTAGTTAAACACAATCCTTCAAACCAGTGTCACACCACCAATATGGGAAGAAAAGATATTGCAGCAGGTCGACAAAAAATCGGATAAACAAGAGATAAATTTTGTAAGGTAGAATCATTTGTTACCTCTGGAACCGAAACCTATATGACTTCATTGAATGTGATTGAAATCGTTCCCTCAGTTCTGCAATAACAGATCTGACCTGAAAATGTCTTAGCCCTAATCATGTCACGAGTAGTGTCTATTTGTATTTCAATCAGTTTAACTCCCCTTTTAACCCTTGAATAAGGCATTACCAGTTTCTGGATTGATTCTACATTTTAGTCTGTTTTTATGCCTAATACTGTTTGTTATTCTTAAATTTTCCATTTTGTAGTTGTATAAGTTTTCCATAGGCTTCGATCATCTCCCCAATAAACCCAGAGCCTCATTTTCTCCTGCTAAGCAAAAGAAAATCAAGGAGGCCTGCAACTTCGTATGCAGTCCGCCACTGCAAATCAGTCTGGAAACTGGAAAATTCAAAGGTAAAACACACCAATATCTTTGATTTTGGTCTCTACTGCACAGTTTGACAGACAAATGATAAACCTAACACATGCATGCTCTGATTTCCTTGGTAGGTCATATTTTTCACTTTCTGGATGTGCAAAGTTTGGATAGTACACATCACCGGGCCAAACCTTTCTCAGGTAAGGAATTACATCGCGTTTGTTGAAAATATTTGCTTCCTTTCCTCTGATGTATGTATATGCATGATGTATGTGTGTGATTTTAGATTGTAATGTATCACAAATTTGTGGCATGAAAATTGATATTTGTAGACTTACCCTTTATTTTTTGGCTGTGATGGGGGAAAGGAAAATAAAATTTCAAAGATTGATACTTTTATGTGATTTCTTGGCTCTTTTTTTCATATGATTTTCATTGTATGTGTGCCAGTGTATGTCTCTTCTTGAAAAATGCATGTTGAAAATGGGAGAATTTTGGACATTGACATGTTTAGAAGTCAGGTTTTCTGAATGAAGATACTCTTATGATTTGTTTGTAATTTGTTTTGCAAATGGGTAGGAATGTCATTCTAAAAGGATATTGGCAGGAGGGGGTGGAATGTCATTCTAAGATATATATATCAGCAGCAAGGGTGTGGAAGCTCACACGCTCAGATTTCAACGCGTTTCGAAGGTGGAAATGACAAGAATGTGCAGTGTGGACCTCCAATTTCTAGTGCTATGATGCATGAGGACTGCCAAAGTGAGAATACTGGTTAGTTGTCATCAAGCAGCCCTTGTAGATGTGTATTTTGTTTATATATTGCTAGTTTAACCATTAGTACGTTTGACTTGGGGATACAAGCTTGGATATGTTATATTTTGTTGTATATAGAGAATCCCGGGTATGTCCAGCATAGGATAACATGTATTTTTTGGTTTAACATTTGGATGGGTTGTATTGTTAGGTTGCATGAATCGGTCTTAGCCGAGAACATGGGTTATGTAATATATTAACTTCACTATTTTAGTGCTAATGTTGATTTATGTTTAGTTTGTAATGGATGATTTGTAAGTTTCTAAATTTAGGTGGAAATTAGGTTCTATGAGCAACCTGATGATTTCCATGTTTAAATAAAAATATCCAATTATGCCACAAATTTTTAATTGTGCTGGAGTTTTATTGTATTTATTAAAATATAATAGTGGCACAATTTTAAAGTTGTGCCCTTGCTTTAACATTTATACAGCAATCTGAGCCTTTAAAATAGCAATTGTGCCCATCTTACACCATACATTCAGTAGCCTTTATTAGAGGTAAGACACAATAAGGGTTGTATTTGTGCTTAGCTTTGGGCACAAAACATCATATTGTGTGCTATAAGTAATGGTGACGCCCATAGAGGGCACAGATACAAACTTAGTTGCTGCACTGTTGCTATTGGTCTATGAGCACAAATGTTGGTGCTTTTTGGCCTCAAAAGGCATATATAATTTTTTGTGTGCAGTGCTCATTTTTTTTGTAGTGATAAACCCAATAGTTTCTCTAATTAAAGATGATTGCATATTGTAGTTAGGTCAGTTGATTAGGATAATGCGTTTAGTTTTTAACACCCGAGTTCAAATCCTTGACCACATAAATTAAAATCAAATCCTTGTCCACATAAAATAGAATAGTTTTAACCATGGTTGTGTAAAACAAAATATGACTAATCAAATTTGTGTAAACTGAGAAACTTCATGAAGGCTTCGTATGGGTTCTTTGCCAGCCGTGAAGTTAAGGGCAAAGGTTGTTTTTACATAGGAATGATGTGCCAAATTGCATGCGCTGGCTTGTGGCATGGGTTGAAAGAGATGGATACACACTCTATATCATTTAGTGGCACAACCACACCGACAAGTCCTAATCTTTTTCATTTTTTTTGAACAAATACATGTCCTAATCTTAGGAAGCCCCACCCACTAAGCAATTTGTGAAGGGACCGTTGTATCCAAAAGAATTTTTCACAAGCCTCGTCTTAAATAGATTTTTCCGAGCACTCATTTTAAAGAGAATCTGTTTTACATTTAGAGAATTTGTTCTCCGACAAAAGATATTTTCAATCACTATAGCCTGTGATAAATACAATTTTGAATAATAAAATAGCATACCTTTTTCTTAACAAAAACCTAACTCGCTCCATTAATTACACGCAACAATTTAATCAAAATATTGAGAAGAGGTTTATCAATATGGTGCTCGGAAGATTACATACAATCATATAATTAGTGAGACATTAGATTTTCTCGTCTGCTCAAGTAACGTCATTTAACTTTTTTTCGTACATCAACTCCATTTAAATAACAATTTGAGATGGAGTACAAGTTCAACAATCTGTCATCACATATTCATATCGAAGCAAGAACCAGAATGCAAAAGGTATTTGCCTACACATACTTATTTATACTAATATTTAGATACATAAAATCTATTCAATACATATTAAAAATATTGATCTTTTTCAGGTAAGCAGCTCACTGACACCTGAAGGTGAAGGAAGTTGCTTAGTTTTTCTTTTTATTTTTAAACTAAACTTTTTATTATTTATATTTATAATCATCAATGCATCACTATGACATGCCCATACACAATTAGTATTTGACCTCTTTTCCATAATGCTAGATTTGGATATTAGGTGACGAGTGATGTTAGGAAGAACAACTACTTGAATTATATTTTGGAAATAATATGATATAAAGTTGATGGTTTGACTTTTTTATTAAATCATTAAATAAAGAATTCAATCATTAACCGGTAATTTTCTTAAATGCATGGAAGAAAAATTGATAATTTTCTTAATCCAGGTGGTAAACAGTTTCACAATATTGTTTTCTTGTGCACTTGCTCATTGACTCTCTGTGTAAAGAATTATGAGACATGTCATGTGTGGGTTGCTGGGCACCATCAAAGGTTGCTTTTGAGAAAAGCAGGACATGCGCTTTTGCGTTGCAGTTGCTTTATTTACAAGGCAGTAGTAGTAGACACAGTTCCACCCCACTCTAAATCCCACCAACCTTTCACCTTGCATGTCGATCTTGAATGTTAACGGCCTATCTAGTGTTAGAATTTTGATTAAGGATTTCTAAATGAGTAATACCAGGTAGATTAAATTTTTAAACTAAATTTGTAAAATATATGATGTATCATTAATAAGAAATAAGCACGTTAATCAACATTTTGACGATAATTCAATCATCAACAAACATGTCATATGGTTTACAAAATTTGGTTTAAAAAATTAGCCGTCTTAGTATTACCTTTCAAAATACAACTTATTAGTCAAAACTTCATTGGTCATGTTAATATCATTCTTAATGATTTCTTTTAATCTTAACAATTTTGTTTGCAAAACTGATGTATTAAGGGGGATATAATGTTGGACTCTGAATCACATTTTCTTTTTGAAGTTGCAATCTGGATTAACTTATTAATTGAGCATTTATATAGTCTAACATTTCTCCCATTCAATTAGCTTATTCCTTATTACATAGTAAAGAGATAAAATTCAGTTTTATAGCCGTTATATCATTTACATTCAGCCATTATGGGATTGTTAAAGCAATATTTATGATATCCTAATGTTCTAATTGAGCTCATAGTTGTAGCTTCCATTGTTCCAACCATGGGTGCAATCTTTTTCCTACAAACTCCATATAGTTGAAAAGAATTTCACCGTCCTCCCCTCTCTAATCTCTCGTTTTCTTTCAAATGCTATTATAATTTTCATCTTTTATATGCCAAAGGAAAGCATGGAGTTGTTCACTCGATTTAAGTATTGCGAGTATACGCTTACAAGGATCACAAATTGTTGTATCCTAGAGGGTAAGACATCATAACCTGTACACAGAGACATTATCTTCAAGGGATGAAATTTACTCTTGAGGACAGTGAACTTACACGCATTAACCTAAAATCTTGTTCTATTCAAGTATCGTTGGAGATCGATATATTCGTCACAAAAGAAAAAGTATTTCAGTGTTAATTTGTTAATCTCATCAGATTATTATTTCAAAGTAAATTAATATGTACTAATATTTATCTTATATAATTTGGTGTAGGAGAACTAGAATCCAAATCGCTAATATTTCCAACATCTATAATCACAATAATAATCTTTATGTTATAATATTATAAAGATATCTTAAATATTTATATAATTTATAGTTCTTTTGTGGTTTTTTTTTAGTACAACGATATATTTTACACTAAAGTGAGAGGGCGTTCGGCTAAGGCACATAATGAGCAACTTAATTTGGTATCGAAATCCACGAGATTCGAACCTAAGACCTCTCACTTATAAGTAAAGAGGAATATCACCAGATTGTAGTACTGAATAATTAGTTATTTTGTGTTATGTGTCTCATCAATCAAGTAATGAACAAGATAAATTACGTCTATTTTTTTTTTTAACACTTCAATTTGTAAAGTCACGGCAAAAGGCCAAGAAACTCTCACTAATCGCTTTATTAAACCCTTCCTTAATCCCCTTTTTAATTCTCTTAATAATTTCTTGTTAGTTAAGATAACTGTCCCGGAAAAATGTAAGTATCTCGCCTCCTTTCTAAGGTAAACTCAGCATACCTTTCAGGCTTTCACCTTGCTTAGAAAAGTGATTGTATACAATTGGTTACTTCTAAAATTTTATCCACTTAAATTTGTAAAAATCCGGGGGAAACCCCCAAAA